ATGTGTGTGTTGCTTCACTGTTGAAAACATCAGAAAACATACAAACCTGTTATAGACAAACAGAGTTCCCTCCACATCTGTCTTTTCCTACAGAGCACAAATGCATTTGTATATTTATATTCAACTTAAAATAAAAATAAGCTAACATTAAAAAAAAAAAAAAAGTCAAAATACTTTTTAGAATAATCAATCATCTACCTATCCATTTACTGTTATTAATTTTGTTGATATCATGATTTACCCATTCATTAGTGGTGTTGTTGAAGGTGTAAAGTGCTACTTGGCTGGCCAGGTCTGCGATGCTGCTGATGTAGGGGTCGAGTCTCTTTAGGGCAGACAGACTCATGGATAAACAGCTCCCGCCGTCACCTGTGCTTGCAGTCATGACTCCAGTCCTCTTCTGTAAATAAAATATATGATCTTTAAATAAAACTATGCAGATGCCTGAGGTTACTGTTTACTAAAACATTCCGTTTTTGATCGAAAAGTGTTTAATTCCAACAACTGTAAGGCTGATCAGCAATTGTTTACATGCATCAGTATCATCATAGACTATTAGGGATATTTTAACTACTCCACAAAAATACTTTATCTGAAATAGATTTAAATGTATGAACTTCACTTTATACTGCACGTTTTATTGTTTTGTAAAATTTAAAATCTCCACTGGCCTAGTTGTGTCTCAATACTTTATTCTAGTGTAAATTAAAACATAAAACTTAGATATAAAGTTGAAAAAGTACAACAAACCTTCACCCCACAAAAAAAGTAAAACAAAGCTTCACACGACGCATACATGTGATGCTGCTGACACAAGAGCCAAACCCGGGTTGCATTGCTCCTTGTTTACAAGCAAGCAGAAGAATGCACACGCATGCGTCGTGGTGTTCTTGTGAATGCACGTTGAAGACTAACACGGAAGAGAAGAAATTGTTGAATAAAATCGTTATTTTTGTTTTCTTTGCACACAAAAAAGTATTCTTGTTGCTTCATAACATTACAGTTGAACTACTGATGTCACATGGACTATTTTAACGATGTCCTTACTACCTTTCTGGGCCTTGACTGTGTCAGTTGCTTTACTGGCTATGCAGGGTCAGAAAGCTCTCAGATTACATCAAAAATATCATAATTTGTATTCTGAAGATGAATGAAGGTCTTACGGGTTTGGAACGACATGAGGGTGAGTAATTAATGACAGAATTTTCATTTTTGGGTGAACCATCCTTTCAAAAACAATAATGCATGCACACATTTAAATATCTGATAAAGGTAGGCCCCTTTAAGTTTATTCAATACATTAGAGCTGTGATATTCATTTAATTGAAATATAAATAAAACAGGAATTTATGCTGATACCGGTAAATAAATGAAATACATTAGACTTGAATATGATTATACGGTGTATACATTCATAATACAATAAATAAGGCTTAAATAAGACAATAAAATAAACTATATATTCTAAAGCAAATGTGAGCACCCCGTGCCAAACTCACAGCCATGATGCTGTGTGCTTGACATAGTGTTCCTATGCAAGTTATTACTGCTCTGCCCATGCCCGCAATGGTGTATACATTCATAATACAATAAATAAGGCTTAAATAAGACAATAAAATAAACTATATTCTAAAGCAAATGTGAGCACCCCGTGCCAAACTCACAGCCATGATGCTGTGTGCTTGACATAGTGTTCCTATGCAAGTTATTACTGCTCTGCCCATGCCCGCAAGTCTGTATTTTATTATGTCCCCTAGATTTGGTTCGAGTCTCTCTTTCATTGCAAGTCGTAAAATCGATGGCTAGTAAAATAATAGCATCCTTCATGTCCGTAGCACAAACTCTGCGGGACGGTGTACAACAAGAAGTTTGGTAACGTTAATGCGGAATAGCGGTTTGTTCAAATCCCCAACCGTGTATGAACAATAGTAATACTGATGAATTGAATAATTCATGCCTCCACAAGTTTATAAATGAAACAACCGAGGCCTTTGTTAGCTGCTGCTGCCCTGTTATAGATCGGACAGCAGTGAAACTTACCTGCACTTAAAATACCGCACAAATCCTAAAATTCCTTTAAAACGAGATTCAACTCTGTAAAACAGGACTGAAACACTTTACTTCACGTTCCGGTCTCCGGGTATATGTTTTCAATGATCTACAAACTAGTGAAACATGAATATATCGCTTTATTTCGCTTATCTAACTCCTGATCGGCTACCGCTCTCGCCATGTTTGCGCTGACATCAAGACAGCACGAGCTGATCGCTGAGCTCGCGCGCACACAGGAAAAGTAATCGTGGAGCATGAATAATCGATGAGCCTGAAGCCCCGCCCCCTGCAGCTGCATGGCTTGAGCTCACCTGAGACCCACCAAAACCTTTAGTTTTTACATCTTGATTGATTGTAATAAAGTGAGCTGACGCCGCAGAGTTTGTGCTGCAGGGGAGCCCTTGAGGATTTGAAGTTCTCGCGTTCCTGCACTATTCATCCTCTGGTAGGCATTACGTTTTTGTAATTGTTTAGTTTGTTTGTGCGTTCCTTCTAAAACACACAGGCTACATTTCGCAGTCCACAGGACTTACTGTCCTACTGCAATTTTAAAAGTCAAACCTCCCTGTGTTACTGTAATTTAAAAGCGCACTTTGGATTTTTCCCCTCTTGTTATATTCCAGTAGAAATTAATAGCAAAACCACATAATCAAATATTTATATTATCTCTATTTATCCCCCTTTGGACTTATTAAAATAATCATATCTCACTTTAAAATTGTACTAGTAGCCGAATTCATTCCTTTGCACATGACAACTCATGCCAATACAACATTAGCATAACACAAAAATGTTTGCACCCTTAAAATAGGTTTCAACTAGGGATTTTACATGAAGGTTGCAACAGGAAAAACGTAGAAGCTGAATGCTATTGTGCCCTTGAGCAAGACACCAGGGTTGCTTTAGAGGGACTGTCGTATTATAACTAAACAGTCTTTTCCAAATGCACCTTCTAAAGCACGATTTACTCAACGACACTTTACTCATTTACCACTAGAGGGCATCACTATACAATTACTCGTGATCTGTCATCGTTCTCGGCAGGATTTCAGACCTATTCCAAGAGAGCACAGCAGCCCATGCAGTTTTTATGATGTTGTTCAAATTAATCTTTTTATGTACACATTTGTATGTTTCACCTGTGCTGACAAATCTTGCCAAAAAAGTTGGTAAACTTGATCAATTGAATGTTAATTACAATTAACAACCTAAAACCTTTATGTTCAATATACTTAATTCCCATTACATGGCGATAAATATGGTAAGAGTCAGTACAGAAGGGAAGAGGATGTGTCGCCTCAGTTATGTTTAGTTAATTGGTTAATTATAGTGTTAGTAAAAGAGTCATGCAGCCTGTGGCTGTACAGTACGGCCACTGTTGTATATCACATTCAGTGTGCAGACAGAGACGTGATTCATCTTGACATTTAGTGTGGAAGCTGGGAGGAACTTTGTCATCTTTGAAGCCATGCATTAACCAGTTTTCCTTCTGTACCGATGCCCGTGATTCTTTGGATCTCTGGATTCCCCGAAGCTTATGATTACAGGGTGGCACTGAAAAACACTTTGTTAACATTTCCTCTGTGCTTTGCATAAACATACCAAAGTTAATCAATTATTTGAGGATGCCGAAGGGAAATCACTGACCTCTGTCATGACCTTTTGTTCAAAGCCAAATTCAATCAAAGAACTTGGCCGTAGATTGGACGTCTGAAAACCTGCAATTTTGAGTGCCTCCCTTTCCTGCTACATGCTTCGTGATTCTTCTGAATTATTGAAAATTCAAAATCTGCAATTCTGATGCACAGAGAGTGAGAAATGATAGTCTGGGGGCAGGGGATGTCTCTTGGGATATGTGAAGTTTTCTCATGGCTGGAGGGAGGGACCAGGGAAGGGCCTGCTAAATTCATACTAGGCGGTACTGATGAAAGATTCTCAGTCATCTTGCAGAAATTCCCAGGCCCCATCGTCCCCTTTATCAGAGCCCACCAGTCCTGCCATGGGAAGATCAGGCTGGTTAAACCTCAGCTGAAGGGATAAATCAGCCCCGACACCTGCTACTGGAGAACTCAACATTCTCCCAGAAGTGGCATCCCGGCAGGCAGTGGATAATGTCTAAACATAGTGCATGGAGCCGTGACTGTGAGCGTATTTACGCCAGATTGGTTGTGGTACAAATCATCTTCTGACATGATTCCGGACTGTAAAAGAACTCGAATCGGTTCTTAGTCTGGCTACGCTTCACTATATTGGAGCTGATTCCCAAGTTTGCTCTCTCCCCCTCAAGAGATACAGCCCGTGTGGAAAAGCGTGGAGGATTTATTCTCCTTTCTAGCGCAGTCACATCTGGAAGCAGTCAGGGAGTCTACGGGGGAGGGGGTCTGGTCGTCAGATCATTGCAGAGAAGCTGGTGGTGTGCGCTCTCTCTCCGCAGGGCCACAGACTGACTACTCCCCTTTCTCTCCAATATGGACTGGACGCGGCCGATTCTGCACTCTATCTCCTAACGAGGCGCGACGCAAACTACGCCTGCTGTGGAACATCTCAGATGGAATCGATCATATGTGAAGATTGAAGCCCGTGAGATCTGGAATATACACACCTTTTACCTTTTGCTGCGCTTTCTGAAACGGTCTCTGAAACCTACACTCGCTTTTCCTGCGCTTCTCCTGGCTCTTGCAGCATCCTTTTCGAACCGTTTCCGAGCGTATCGCGCCGATTTGATTATCGATTATCAGCAAGCGGCGCTGGTATCATGTTTCTTAGGTAGGGCCCGGATGTTCCAAAGATGCACTGGTTCGTTTTCTTAGGTGGTTCTTGCGATTATCCTTTCCTGATCTTTAGCTCCATAATGGGGATCAGGTAATATTAACTAAGCCGCAAGAGAAGGAATATCTTACGCTTTGCGTTTTTCATTTTTTCTTCCCCCTTTTTTCTTTAATTTCTTTCCCTTGGGTTGTTTTTTCCTTCCCCCTCCTTTTTTTTTTTTACAACCTTTTCTTCATTCACTTTCGGATAAAGCTGGACCACATATATGGTAAATGAAAGCAAAAACATGTACATACCGGAGGACACCCTTGAAAACCATCAAGGTAATTTCTCTATTTGTCTTACCTCTGTTTGGAAACTGTGTGTGTGTGTGTGCGGGGCGGGGGGGGGGGGGGGGGGGGGGGGGGGGGGGGTATGATGAGTGTGTTGGCATTATCATGGGCATGACGCGGGGGTGTACCCAAACCCGAACCCTTCCATTTTCAAACACACTATGCGCACTCATATCTCCTTTGGAAGACGATCAACAAATGTCATGCAATATAACCACTCATGCCCGACAGCTATTTTATTATTATTTTGGAGGGAAATGCGTTAATGTAGTTGATGAACTTGTTGGATGGCTCGCCACTGCTTGATCATGCATATAGATCATGTGGTCAGAGACGCGCACACAGATGCCAATCGATTATCCTGTCAGCTGCTTCAGACTTAAAATGACCTTTTAATCTTTTTGTGCGGCCAGACTGCATTGATCACAGTCCAGCAGCTAAAATGAACTCGGGGTGGTGTCATCAGCGCATCAGTTCACAGTGATTATTCTGTTGAGAGCATCTCAAATGGTGAAATGAAGCACCGTAAGTGATGCCCCCTCATTCTAGCGTGCATCTGTTGAATTCCCCTTCTTATCAGACAGCTGGTGTGGCGCAGCAGTCTCCACAGGTTGCGCGCTTGCGAAGAGCGCGGAGCCTCACTCTCTTCCCTTCACAAGATCCCCCTCCATCCAGGGCCTCCAGCCGTCGCCTGTTGGCGCCGTGGCAACGGAGCTGCCGACCCATAGCAACAGCACGGCTCGCGATAAGCCCGCTCCCCGCGCGCTCACCTGCCGCACCTGAGTGAACAAACGCATCCGAGCAAAGCCTGTAAATTGCTGTCAAAAATGTAGCCCCGCCCCCTCAGGCCTACTGCACATCTGTCATGCAAAAAAGCTACTTGATTATGACAACTGGAATAATTATGTTTCTTTGGCGCTGTCTGTGAGGGACAGTGGTGCGTTTCTCATGGCCTGTTTGATTGAGTGAATAAACTGAGATATAGACTCTTTGTTTGGAATTAAAATTGAAGCAGGACTACAGTGATGGGAAAAGGGTCCCGAATCTAATTTTAGATGCTTTGTTTTGACAGCTTTGGCAGTAAACGTTTATCTTTGATCAGCTTGTCTTTGTTATATTCAGATTTGCATCTTACATCTTTACTCTAGATGCTGAAACATCATCACAACAGTTTCTTATAACTGATCAGTTTCTCTTAGTAATTGTTTGCTAATTGGAGAAAAGTTTTGCTTCTAATGACATAAACAGTACTTTTAAGGAATTTCAAAGTGATGGATAAAAGATGAGATGAAAACTCCAGTCATATCAGTTATCTAGACCAAACTGCAACCAAAGTTGCGATCATATGACCAGATGTCTCATACAATTGACTGTTACTACTAACAAATAGTGCAATAACGTACATTTTACGTAGTGCTTTGAGATGTCATACAAGCATAAAGAAGTGTACAACTCACAGCAACTGTTATGAAAAAAAGTGCAAAAGAACAGCCAGCCATGTAACCACCAACAATGCACAAAAATAATTGAGATTGAATCCAAAATTTTATATTTTAAAATAATGTTTTATTAATGTGTATAGTGTGAGATAAAAACTGTTGTGACGTGTCAGGTGTCAGTATAAAGTGGAAATCCACTGACAAATAAAAGCCAGTTAAACGTGAACAAAAAACAACTGAATGATTAACCCAACCTTTAGTAGACTGCATATTTGTGTCCTAACAGAGCAGGATCTCCGAGGTGGCCTGTAGCCCAGCAGATGTGTTCATGTTTGTGTTGTGTTGTCGTCTACCTCTGCTGATGAGTGCAGGCTTTCAGGTAAAAACAGCCTCAGTCAATCACAGGTCCAGAGCCGAGCGACTTATCACAGCCAAACATGAACCTCTTCTGCTGCACAAACACTCAAACAGCAGGAAGATGGAAAGCATGTTTTGTGCACTATGATACACCGTCACTTTCTGGAATGTTGAATGTGACTCATGAAGTGCTTGAATGTTTGTGTCAGAACAAGCAGTTACTGAGATACGTTTTGTACGATTTTTGTTCTGCAGTAGACTCCTTTAACCAGGGCAGGAATACTGAATTAATGTAGTCATTGCATTGATGTTATATCAGCTGTATGCTGTGATGAAATTGTCACTCCAATCATTTATAAGGCTTTTCATAGAAAAATATCACAGTGTAGAGACATGTTTTTGAAATGACTCGAAAGGTTTTAGCTTGTGCATTCCTCTCTCCTTTTCGCTCTTTTTCTCTCTTGAAGGTTGTTGGTTCCCTGATGCTCATTGATTGGTAATGAGGGCGGCATTATCTGGCTTCTTTCCTCCTTCGGCTTTGTGCCAGGTTCATATGACAGGTAATTCAGATCATTAGCTAAATGAATATGTTTATGCTAGATCTCAAAATGTCTGACGAGCCTCCAGGACGCCATCTCGGATGACTTTCTGTCTTGGACTTTTCCTCCTTCCTCAGGGCAGTGCCGAGTGATCGAGTGTTTCTTGCTTCTGTCACTGTCGAACACATGCAGGTCACCAAAATCCCACGCAAGTGTACACAGGTTGTTAGTTTCCTGGAATCTGTTTGCTAATGTTGTTTGTTCAAAGAGTATTTAATGTTTACTTAATGAATATTTAAGACCGCCAAACTTGCATCAACATAAATCCTTCGCAAGCGCGGTGAAGTCGGGAAAGTTGTCAGCTTGTTTATTGCCGTGGTTTTGGCTAAGAGTGTCTGCCTTCACACAGAGATGGTCTCCAGTTTCTTGCTTTCCTTGTTTGACTATGTATCCTCTATGTAACATAAAGACAACGATGTGAATCTTTGCAGATCCAATTGTTTTTGCTTCTGTTTACTAGATATAATAACAAGCCACTCCTCATTCACTTCTGAAACTTAATTTGAGAAATATGTCTTAGGACGGTCAGTTAATGAGGCCACATTGTCAGCGAGGCTTCTCAATCTGCAGAGCAGTTGGCACTGGTCACTGTGGGATTGTGGGACATGTTAGGTGTCGAACAATCAAAGGAGTGCAACACTTGGGACGTATTAGCTGTCTGTGAAAACACGCATGTTGAGCACAAATCATCTACTCTCGCTTCTGCTTTACATCAGTGCTTGTGTTTCCAGGCAGTGTGCTTTTTTACATGTTTACTGTATTTAAATTGATTGTGGCATGCTATTTTAATATGTCGGTAATCACATGCTGAACACTGTAAGTAGTCATTTAGCAAATGCTTTTATCCAAAGTGACTTACAGTAGACTTTTTGCTCAGGCAATCCCCCTGGAGCAACCTGGGGTTAAGTGCACAATGGTGATACCACATGCTCCTACTGCACCCAGTATCATCTTTACTGTTGTGGAAAATACTTTTACTTATCAGTACAAATATAGTTGATTCTCTGGATTTTTAAAATGTTTTTTCCCCTCTTTAATGCACTGTAATGTTAACATTTCTCTAAACAGTGTTTATGAGCATAATGTAAACAAATAAAATAAGAGCAGCATTTGTTTGTTAAATAGTAGCTGCCACGATGCTAGGGTTGGTGGCTGCCAGTATGCTGTTATTTGATCACTCCAAAGTTATTTATTTGTTTGTTTTTTTAAGAAATTCATACTTTTTATTCCGCAAGGGCACATGAAAATTGATCAAAAGTGACTGTAAAAACATTTGTAATGTTAAGAAACATATGTTTTCAGGTAAATGCTATTCTCTTAATCTTTATATTCATCTAAGGATCCTGAAAAAATGTAACACTGTTTCCAGCATCACAGGTATTTTCAACACTGATAATATTAAGAAATCTTTTATGAGCACCAAATCAGCATATTAGAATGATTTCTGAAGGATTGTGTGGCTGTGAAGACTGGAGTAATGGCTGCTCAAAATTTAGCTTTGCCATCACAGAATAATTTTTATATAAATGTCTTATATAATAATTTATTAATTATAAATGTCTTTATTATAAATAGAAAATGGTTATTTGAAAATGTAAATATATTACTGATTTTGCAGATAAATGATTAATGGTTTTATCAAATAAATGCAACCTTGGTAAGCATAAGAATCTTCTTTTCAAAAAACTGTAATAATTCTTACTGACCCCAGTTGTAGTTTGTGGTAGTTTAGCTCTCTGCTTCAATGTTAATATGCTTTTTTTTTTGTCTGTCAATCTGAATGCTTATAAAAATAATAATAGCTCACCTCTTAAGCAAGCTGCATTCTTTGAGTTAGAATGATTTGAGTTACAATGTTTTTTATGAGCACCAAATCAGCATATTAGAATGATTTCTGAAGGATCGTGTGGCTGTGAAGACTGGAGTAATGGCTGCTCAAAATTTAGCTTTGCCATCACAGAATAATTTTTATATAAATGTCTTATATAATAATTTATTAATTATAAATGTCTTTATTATAAATAGAAAATGGTTATTTGAAAATGTAAATATATTACTGATTTTGCAGATAAATGATTAATGGTTTTATCAAATAAATGCAACCTTGGTAAGCATAAGAATCTTCTTTTCAAAAAACTGTAATAATTCTTACTGACCCCAGTTGTAGTTTGTGGTAGTTTAGCTCTCTGCTTCAATGTTAATATGCTTTTTTTTTTGTCTGTCAATCTGAATGCTTATAAAAATAATAATAGCTCACCTCTTAAGCAAGCTGCATTCTTTGAGTTAGAATGATTTGAGTTACAATGTTTGGTCCCACAGGTAGCCTTAACTAAGTACTTAAATAAAAAAATAAGTACAATGTGTTCATATTGTATTGCAAAACACTTTTGCTGCTATTGAGGTGGGATGCGGGTAAGGTTAGAGACCGGTCAACAGTATAATTATAAATGTAATTACAGAAATGTATTATTTATTATAGATTAATTACATGCAGGTATTTTTAATGGGGTCCTATTATGCTCTTTTAGTAAACCTTGGAAAATGCCAGAATTGGGAAAAAAAACAAAAACATTCGGTCACACTTTATATTAGGTGG